AAAAAAAAATAATTTTATGTAATTAAGTTTCTTATAAAGGCATTATCTAATCTTCTTCCTCGATGCTCCCACAAGGAGAAATGAATTTTAAAAGAAACAATAAAAGCATTCCATTAAAATTTGTTAGAAAAAGTCGTTTATTGGTAAAACGCGGTTGGCGTATTAAAAAGAGTTACATTCAAAATGGTTTTTTTTCCTCCATCTAGACTTTATTGGGAGTATTAAACTGTTAATTAATTCGAAATGGTTAATGGGACAGATTTTTATTGTCCGAATCTACCGAACGCTTAAATTTTTTGAGTGAGACCAATCATGTCTGTGAATGTGTCGGTACGTCCGGTTCTAAGAACGGACCATGAGTGTTATGGTACATGGTCCAATTTCTTTTCACACAAACTTCTTTAATACTCTCTGTCTACATTCTCAAAATTATAAAATTTTATTATTAAATATTATGAATTTCATATAAAAAATTGTAAGTAAAATATAAAAAATACAGTATAAGTCAATTTATTCATTGTTAATTGATATATTAAGTTATTTGTTAATATATTTTTAAAATATATTTTAACAATCTCTCAATAAATAATGGTTTGCAAGAGAGAAGGAAATTTTTTGCTACTCTCACCCAAAATGTCTACTTTGCTAAGTGTCAAAATAGCAAAAGCTCAGATCCAAAACATGTCAATTGCGAAGAAACCTAACCAAAACAACGAATTTGGAATCCTTTAAAACAATAAATTCAACAAAAACGTTATTGTCGGTTTGCACCGATAGTTAACCAAGCCAGCAAGCAAGCGAATTCTGAACCTTCTTTCTTCAACCTTTTTGGATTTTTCTTCAACAAAATCCCTTTAATTTCTTCTGTAAGTAAACCATTACATGAAGCAGCTTCTCGCATCCGGAATCTGAAAGGTATAACCCCAGATCCTTCTTTTTCCGATGCGATTCTGGGTTTTGTCTACTTGTTAAGATTGCTCGAAAGTTCTATGCTAAGAGTGGTCTGAATTTGATTTGCTATGTTTAGCTATTGAAGAAAAACCCTGAAAACTAAACAAAATCACTCTATAAACTTGGCTAGTATCTGTGATTTTCGTTTTGATTCTCTCATGCCAGTTCGTTTAAAACCGTTTGCGTTTTGGTTGTTCATTACAGGTTTTTTGTTATGGAGATAATCTCGCAGAACTTCCTGCCTCAGTGCTCTGTGGTGACTTGGTCTAGTAAATTAGACAAGAAGAGATTGGTCCCACGTCGATCAAGTACCTTATTATCTGGGGTGGTCAAAAGATCCAGACTTGTGATTCGAAATGGAACTACTGATGGTTATGTGGTTGGTGAGAATGAGGATTTGGGTAGTATAGCAAGAAGAGGAGAATCAAAGTCAAAGGTTTTGATTCCTGGTTTGCCCGATGAATCAAACGGTGAAGCTGGTGCCCAAATCAGTCGTTATCGTAGCGAGTGGAAGCCGAAGCTCACAGTACATTATGAGAAATCGGGTTGTGATAACCTCGAGGCTCCTGCGGTTCTGTTTCTTCCTGGCTTTGGTGTTGGTTCATTTCACTATGAGAAGCAGCTTACGGATTTGGGAAGGGATTATCGAGTATGGGCGATTGATTTTCTTGGTCAGGGTTTATCTCTCCCTACTGAAGATCCTACTACCATATCTGAAGAAACAGGTGCCTTGAAAAAAAATAATGAACCATTTTGGGGATTTGGTGATGAAGCTGAACCATGGGCTGATGAACTCGTATACTCGCTGGATCTCTGGAGGGATCAAGTTCAGTATATTGTAGAAGAGGTAAACAATATCTGTGAAATATTTAAATTGCTGTTTAGTTGTATGTTACTCTTCAAGCTTTTGATTAACTTTTAGCCACAAGTTCAAAGTGTCAAGTCTCGGAAAGTATAGTGTAGTGTTCTAACTCTTTCATTTTAGATTGATGCTATGAGTCATATACTAGCTCAGTACCTGGAAGTGTGGGCATTGGGTCTTTTGAAATTGTTTTGGGCATGGGAGAGTAAATGATGCTGTAGAATTCATCCCTGTTCTTTCGTTCTGTTTGTGTTCTAGTTTCAGTAAAAAATATAGAAAATCACAGATCTGAACTTACCACACACCCCACCTGATATAAGTTGCTGACTCGGTAAGAGTATGTGGTATTTGTTTTACAGGTTATCGGTGAGCCCGTGTACATTGCAGGGAACTCACTTGGAGGGTATGTAGCGCTCTACTTTGCAGCAACCTATCCTCACCTGGTGAAGGGTGTTACGTTGCTCAATGCAACACCTTTCTGGGGTTTATTCCCTAATCCAGTAAGATCCCCGAGGCTAGCACGTCTCTTTCCATGGTCTGGAACATTCCCTCTACCGGCAAGAGTGAAACAACTTACAGAATTGGTGTAAGCCAGACTTTATTAACATATCTTCTCACCTGCAAAGTATCATTTTCCAGCTTGAAGACAATATCAGTCTAATATCTTGTATTTTGTTATACTTCTCCATGGAATTGCAGGTGGCAGAAAATAAGTGATCCTGAAAGCATAGCTGAGATACTTAAACAGGTCTACACAGACCATTCTACCAATGTGGATAAAGTATTCTCACGTATTGTTGAGATCACGCAGCATCCTGCTGCTGCAGCGTCTTTTGCTTCGATCATGTTTGCTCCTGGTGGACAGCTATCTTTCTCCGAAGCTTTATCTAGGTATAAGACAGTATGGTTCTATTGATTTAAATGTTGTGGGATTGATTGGTCTTGCTGCTTATCAAGGAATGTTATTGATGGTCTACGTTAGGTGTAAGAAAAACGATGTTCAAATATGTCTCATGTATGGAAGAGAAGATCCATGGGTGACACCGATATGGGGAAAGAGGATAAAGAAAGAAATTCCAAATGCTCCATACTATGAGATCAGCCCAGCGGGTCATTGCCCACACGATGAAGTCCCCGAGGTACAATGAACAACTCAAAAACTTTCCTCAAAATTTACTTCAAACTCTGCAATGAGTTTTGGATCTGAGTAATGAACCCATTTTACATACGAAAACGAGTAGGTGGTGAATTATCTGATGCGGGGGTGGATCAAGCACCTGGAGTCTGATGGTTTTGAAGCACTCCCGCTTTTGGAAGACGCTGAAGAAGATTGGGAGAAGTCCAGAATAGCTCGGGAAATCGAGTTTCCGAGAGAAGGTTGGAAAAAAGCAGTGAGTCTGTGGTTGTACGGGAGAAAATATTCGTTCTGGAGTGGAGTTGGAGAAGCCTTCAGATCCACTGTCATAAGGGCGTTTCGAGGGAAATCCGCATAGAAGAAGCATTTGCAATAGTCGTCACTTGAAGTAGATTAGTTTGTAATCTTATGATGCTGTCTGATAAAATCAAGTTTCAAAATGTTGAAAAGAGCACACTATGTATATAATATATGTGTGTATGTAGATTATCGACCTTCTTTTATACATGATACTTAAGTCACCTTAATCGAAGATGACTGGAACACTACTGCCAAATCTTAGATATCCAATGCTTCTCTTCTCATTGTTTCTTTTATAGGGAATCTAATGTCTTGTGTGTTGAAATGTATAATAGATTATCTACTTTCTTATACAAGGGACATAGGAGTGAAACCAGTTTTCACTCTTTGTTTTCTTCATGGTTTCTTTATAGATTATCTATTTATTAATTTTGAGCCTCAAGAGTTTTCGAAAAGCACTACAAATACAAAATAGTGATTTGATAATCAAAAAGCAACACCATAACGTTTTCAGAACCGGACTTGAGTCCAAACGGATCAAACATGGACTTGAACCCTGTTAGGTGTCTATCTACAACAAGATCCATTTTTTGTTCATTCTATTCTGATTTCTGCGGTTTTCTAAAATCTGGTTCGGTC